ATCCACCTCCACAAACATACCCACATCCACCTCCACACACAAACTCACCTCCACCTCCACACACATACCCACATCCACCTCGACACACATACCCACATCATCCTCTAAATCCACCTCCACACACAAACTCACCTCCACCTCCACACACAAACCCACATCCACCTCCACACACATACCCACATCCACCTCCACACTCATACCCACATCCACCTCCACACACAAACCCACATCCACCTCCACACACATACCCACATCCACCTCCACACACAAACCCACATCCACCTCCACACACATACCCACATCCACCTCCACACACATACCCACATCCACCTCCACACACAAACCCACATCCACCTCCACACACATACCCACATCCACCTACACACACAAACTCACCTCCACCTCCACACACATACCCACATCCACCTCTACACACAAACCCACCTCCACCTCCACACACAAACTCACCTCCACCTCCACACACATACCCACATCCACCTCCACACACAAACCCACCTCCACCTCCACACACATACCCACATCCACCTCTACACACAAACCCACATCCACCTCCACACACATACCCACATCCACCTCCACACACATACCCACATCCACCTCCACACACATACCCACATCCACCTCCACACACATACCCACATCCACCTCCACACACAAACTCACCTCCACCTCCATACACATACCCACATCCACCTCCACACACTTACCCACATCCACCTCCACACACATACCCACCTCCACCTGCACACACAAACCCACACTCACCTCCACACACATACCCACATCCACCTCCACACATACCCACACTCACCTCCACATACACACCCACATCCACCTCTACACACATACCCACATCCACCTCCACACACATACCCACATCATCCTCCACACACATACCCACATCCACCTCCACACACAAACCCAAATCCACCTCCACATACATACCCACATCCACCTCTACACACATACCCACATCCACCTCCACACACTTACCAACATCCACCTCCACACACATACCCACATCCACCTCCACACACATACCCACTTCCACCTCCACACACATACCCAGATCCACCTCCACACACATACCCACCTCCACCTCCACACTCATACCCGCATCCACCTCCACACACATACCCACATCCACCTCTACACACATACCCACATCCACCTCCACACACATACCCACATCCACCTCCACACACATACCCACATCCACCTCCACACACATACCCACATCATCCTCCACACACATACCCACATCCACCTCCACACACATACCCAGATCCACCTCCACATACATACCCAGATCCACCTCTACACACATACCCACATCCACCTCAACACACATACCAACATCCACCTCTACACACATACCCACATCCACCTCCACACACATACCCACATCCACCTCCACACACATACCCACATCCACCTCTACACACATACCCACATCCACCTCCACACACATACCAACATCCACCTCCACACACATACCCACATCCACCTCCACACACATACCCACTTCCACCTCCACACACATACCCAGATCCACCTCCACACACATACCCAGATCCACCTCCACACACATACCCACATCCACCTCCACACACATACCCACATCCACCTCCACACACATACCCACATCCACCTCCACACACAAACCCACATCCAACTCCACACACAAACCCACATCCACCTCCACACACATACCCACACCCACCTCCACACACAAACCCACCTCCACCTCCACACACATACCCACATCCACCTCCACACACATACCTACATCCACCTCCACACACATACCCACATCCACCTCCACACACATACCCACATCCACCTCCACACACATACCTACATCCACCTCCACACACATACCCACATCCACCTCCACACACATACCCACTTCCACCTCCACACACAAACCCACATCCACCTCCACACACAAACCCACATCCACCTCCACACACATACCCACACCCACCTCCACACACAAACCCACCTCCACCTCCACACACAAACCCACATCCACCTCCACACACATACCCACTTCCACCTCCACACACATACCCAGATCCACCTCCACACATACCCAGATCCACCTCCACACACATACCCACACCCACCTCCACACACATACCCACATCCACCTCCACACACATACCCACATCCACCTCCACACACAAACCCACATCCACCTCCACACACATACCCACATCCACCTCCACACACAAACCCACCTCCATCTCCACACACTTACCCGCATCCACCTCCACACACATACCCACATCCACCTCCACACACATACCCACATCCACCTCCACTCACATACCCACATCCACCTCCACACACAAACCCACATCTACCTCCACACACATACATATATCCACCTCCACACACATACATATATCCACCTCCACACACAAACCCACATCTACCTCCACACACATACATATATCCACCTCCACACACATACCCACCTCCACCTCCACACACATACCCACATCCACCTCCACACACAAACCTACATCCACCTCCACACACATACCAACATCCACCTCCACACACATACCCACATCCACCTCCACACACATACCCACATCCACCTCCACACACATACCCACCTCCACCTCCACACAGATACCCACCTCCACCTCCATACACATACCCACATCCACCTCCACACACATACCCACATCCACCTCCACACACAAACCTACATCCACCTCCACACACATACCCACATCCACCTCCACACACATACCCACATCCACCTCCACACACATACCCACATCCACCTCCACAAACATACCCACATCCACCTCCACACACATACCTACATCCACCTCCACACACATACCTACATCCACCTCCACACACATACCCACATCCACCTCCACACACAAACCCACATCCAACTCCACACACATACCCACATCCACCTCCACACACATACCCACACCCACCTCCACACACAAACCCACCTCCACCTCCACACACATACCCACATCCACCTCCACACACATACCTACATCCACCTCCACACACATACCCACATCCACCTCCACACACATACCCACATCCACCTCCACACACATACCTACATCCACCTCCACACACATACCCACATCCACCTCCACACACATACCCACTTCCACCTCCACACACAAACCCACATCCACCTCCACACACAAACCCACATCCACCTCCACACACATACCCACACCCACCTCCACACACAAACCCACCTCCACCTCCACACACAAACCCACATCCACCTCCACACACATACCCACTTCCACCTCCACACACATACCCAGATCCACCTCCACACATACCCAGATCCACCTCCACACACATACCCACACCCACCTCCACACACATACCCACATCCACCTCCACACACATACCCACATCCACCTCCACACACAAACCCACATCCACCTCCACACACAAACCCACCTCCACCTCCACACACTTACCCGCATCCACCTCCACACACATACCCACATCCACCTCCACACACATACCCACATCCACCTCCACTCACATACCCACATCCACCTCCACCTCCACACACATACCCACATCCACCTCCACACACAAACCTACATCCACCTCCACACACATACCAACATCCACCTCCACACACATACCCACATCCACCTCCACACACATACCCACATCCACCTCCACACACATACCCACCTCCACCTCCACACAGATACCCACCTCCACCTCCATACACATACCCACATCCACCTCCACACACATACCCACATCCACCTCCACACACAAACCTACATCCACCTCCACACACATACCCACATCCACCTCCACACACATACCCACATCCACCTCCACACACATACCCACATCCACCTCCACAAACATACCCACATCCACCTCCACACACATACCCACATCCACCTCCACACACATACCCATATCCACCTCCACACACAAACCCACATCCACCTCCACACAGATACCCACATCCACCTCCACACACAAACCCACATCCACCTCCACACACATACCCACATCCACCTGCACACACAAACCTACATCCACCTCCACACACATACCCACATCCACCTCCACACACATACCCACATCCACCTCCACACACATACCCACCTCCACCTCCACACGGATACCCACATCCACCTCCACACACTTACCCACATCCACCTCCACACACAAACCTAGATCCACCTTCACACACAAACCCACACCCACCGCCACACACATACCCACAGCCACATCCAACTCCAAACACATACAAACATACATACAAACCCACGCATGATGACATGTGACGACACACTTGATACCACCAAACAGGCTAGACACTTACAATAAAGGGGAGCTTTCTTTTGTATGACTATAGTTCTGTCAAAGTGTTATGTTCACTGCTGTGAGGTATCAAGTGTTATGTTAACAGCATTGTTTTGTTCACTGCAAGCGAAATATCACTCTTCTCAAAGTAGACACAATTTATGGAAAACAACTTCTTTAATACTGTAAATGCACGTTTCAGTATGGATCCTGTATAGATTCAAGACTGTCATCCGTCAACTTCTAAGTAATGCCTATCAAACAATTCACTTTTCTCAAATTTTGAAAACTCAGTCTTTCACACTGAAGTGTGCAATAAATGACCAAGTATCTTCTTCTTCATGCAGGGGCACACGTGGCCCAGTCATCTAAGGCGCCGTGATTGGCTGTGCAGAGTTGCGTCCCTTGGACACGCCAGAAACCTATGATTGTGGGTTCGAATCCCGGTTCACCCCGATAATGTTTCTAGGTTTGTCAGCACCATACCCGTGCTCGTGGGTTTCACCGAAGTGGTAAACGTCTGAGACCTGCATCACTTCGGCCTTTCCTCCCACATTAAGTTGACATGACGTGATATAACTGTAATTCTGTTAAAAGTGGTGTTAAACCCAACTCACTCGCTTACTCTTCTTCAGGGACACGGATACCAGACGCTGCAATGAAGCTGATCGACATGATTGGTCAGCATTCAACCGAGACAAAACAAAGGGCCTAATACTGAGAATGACATCAATGCAAAGATCTGAGACATTCTGCATTATAAGTGCCATGCTGTTAGTGCATCTAAGTGCCATGATATGCTTCTTCGTCTGATGTTGTTCTGTAACTTCCTTTGGTATACGACCCGTGAAGATCCGGGGTAGAATAGGTGTTCAGCAACCAATGCTTGCCATAAAAGGCAACTATGATTGTCGTAAGAGGCGACTAATGGGATTGTTGATTAGGTTGATGAATGTCATCGTATTGCGATTGCATGGACCGATGCTCATGATGTCAAACACTGGATTGTCTAGTCCACACTGTATTATTTACAGTCTGATGTCATATAGTTGGTATATTGCTGAGTGTGGCATTAAACAACAACAAGAACAACAACAACAAAATCATTCATATTGATAGGTCCCCAGTGTATATCTCTCTGTTGACATTGTTGACATTGTTGACATAATGGATAATCAGATGCTTTTTGTGTGGCTTCAGCCTTCATCTGCAGAATGGGATGTGTTTCTTCTTGGGAGTATCTTGCTGTGAGTCCTAGGTGCTTTTGTACAAAACAACCTTAGCGCTAAGACTGTCGTAAGTCTATGTTAAGGTATGGGAGTTACAATCACCTCAGCGCTAAGATCGCTCTGTACAAAGGCACCCTGGGCATCGGTCGTGATCACAAACTCAAAGTTACAATGTTTAGCGGTTGTGATTCAGATTTGTTGCCATGAAACCACTCCAGCATTCTTAAATAAGATAAAGTAATGTATTTTATGAAGCAAATCATATTCATGGACGTGCATGGGAGAGTGAACATCCTTCTCGTGTATTTAATCTGAAAGGAAAGTGATAGATTTACCCTTTGAATGGTATAACACTGAAGGAAGAAGCATTTGTGTATGGCAATATATGTTTACCAGGTACTGTTGACTGTAAATACTGTACTATAGTGTGTGGAAGGGTGAATGTGATGATGTGATAGAGTATTATGATATTTACTATTGCAGTTGATAATGAATTGTAAGACTTAAAGTTATTCCAATAAATATTTCAAATCAGCGTATGTCTTGTGTTTCTGAATAAAACACGTAACCTGATGTCATTGTTCTTTACTTTTGAATATTTGAATATTCTAGTTCGAGCTTCCATCTTAGCTTTGTGTTCAGTAGATTTTAGTCTGAGCATATGGATTCTTATCAACTGATCTTGTCAAACCAAAAGTACCCGTGTAGGTTCTGGGTTAGGAAAGGTCCACAGCAACCAATGCTGGTCCTAAGGCGAAAAAAAATAAAAGATTTAGTTCTCGGGCAATGTTTTTTGAAATTATAGTGAGGGCGGGCAGTGTCTTTTTTTGGTTGTTGTTCAAATTAGTATATAACCAAATAAACAGTTGTGTACAATCAAGCAGGGAAAGGGCCTCTCTACATAAATGTATCCCTTGATGTAAAATACGGGAATACAATGTTTGACTACCGTTGGTCTTGGAATATTTTAGGATCTTTTTGTGTGTTTTTTTAAATGGAATTAAAAACAAAACTTTTATGATGATGCAGGCGGTGCCTGAGAACCAATACTATTATTTTTTTAGCCAAAGAGGCGACCAAAAGGATCGGGTGGTCAGGTTCAGTGACTTAATTGATTCTGTGTCATCGTAGCACGACACTGTGGATCATTTGCTCACAATATCAATCACTGGATTGTCTGGTTCAGACTCAATGATTACTGTCTCCCATCATATACATGGAATTGTGTAATGCGTTTAATAACAAATAAACCACAGTCAGGTTTGGACTTGTGGCTAAAGATGCAGATTGTTGCAATATCTGATGAGTGTTAATTATTGTGGGTCATTGATATTAATTAACAAGTTGGTTGGCCATAAAGAAATGAATGTTTTTTTAAAGTATTAAGGCAGTGTTTCTTGAACTAGCCAGTTTTTTTTCCATTGCAGCTGTAGACCTTAACTTAATTCAAGATTAACCTCTTAAGCATGTCAATCGATACAGTCTTTATTTGACTACACATGATTCAGATGTTAAGAATGTCTTTGTGGCCAATGATATGAGGGCAGCTGAGCTACAGTAGTAAAAGATTTCATTCTATCTTTATCTGTCTGCGCATATGTAACAAAGAAACCATCACAACAGAACATTTGCTATCTGTCCTTTTAAAATCCCACTAAATGCATTAGTTTAGTTCAGTAACAATCCCATTAAATGCATTAGTTTAAATCAGTAACAATCCCACTAAATGCATTAGTTTAGATCAGTAACAATCTCGCTAAATGCATTAGTTTGGTTCAGTAACAATCCCACTAAATGCATTAGTTTAGTTCAGTAACAATCCCACTAAATGCATTAGTTTGGTTCAGTAACAATCCCACTAAATGCATTAGTTTAAATCAGTAACAATCCCACTAAATGCATTAGTTTAGATCAGTAACAATCTCGCTAAATGCATTAGTTTGGTTCAGTAACAATCCCACTAAATGCATTAGTTTAGTTAAGTAACAATCCCACTAAATGCATTAGTTAAGTTCAGTAACAATCCCACTAAATGCATTAGTTTAGATCAGTAACAATCTCGCTAAATGCATTACTTTAGTTCAGTAACAATCCCACTAAATGCATAAGTTTGGTTCAGTAACAATCCCACTAAATGCATTAGTTTAGTTCAGTAACAATCCCACTAAATGCATTAGTTTGGTTCAGTAACAATCCCACTAAATGCATTAGTTTAGTTCAGTAACAATCCCACTAAATTCATTAGTTTGGTTCAGTAACAATCCCACTAAATGCATTAGCTTGGTTCAGTAACAATCCCACTAAATGCATTAGTTTAGTTCAGTAACAATCCCACTAAATTCATTAGTTTTGTTCAGTAACAATCCCACTAAATGCATTAGTTTAGTTCAGTAACAATCCCACTAAATCCATTAGTTTGGTTCTGTAACAATCCCACTAAATGCATTAGCTTGGTTCAGTAACAATCCCACTAAATGCATTATTTTAGTTCAGTAACAATCCCACTAAATTCATTAGTTTGGTTCAGTAACAATCCCACTAAATGCATTAGCTTGGTTCAGTAACAATCCCACTAAAAGCATTAGTTTGGTTCAGTAACAATGGTGACATTACCCAGGACATCAGCAAGGCTCAGTGACGGACGAACCTGTAGTGGTGACACAACCCAGGACGTCAGCAAGGCTAAGTGTCGGACGAACCTGTAGTGGTGACACAACCCAGGACGTCAGCAAGATTCAGTGTCGGACGAACCGGCACCGGTGACACAACCCAGGACGTCAGCAAGGCTAAGTGTCGGACGAACCTGCATCCATGACACAACCCAGGACGTCAGCAAGGCTAAGTGACGGACGAGCCTGCATTGGTGACACATTCCAGGACGTCAGTAAGGCTAAGTGTCGGACGAACCTGCATCCATGACACAACCCAGGACGTCAGCAAGGCTACGTGTCGGACGAACCTGCATCCATGACACAACCCAGGACGTCAGTAGAGTAAGTGTCGGACGAACCTGCATTGGCGACATTACCCAGGACGTCAGCAAGGCTAAGTGTCCGACAAACCTGCATCCATGACACAACCCAGGACGTCAGCAAGGCTAAGTGTCGGACGAACCTGCATCCATGACACAACCCAGGACGTCAGCAAGGCTCAGTGACGGACGAGCCTGCATTGGTGACACATTCCAGGACGTCAGCAAGGCTAAGTGTCGGACGAACCTGCATCCATGACACAACCCAGGACGTCAGCAAGGCTAAGTGTCGGACGAACCTGCATTGGCGACATTACCCAGGACGTCAGCAAGGCTAAGTGTCGGACGAACCTGCATTGGCGACATTACCCAGGACGTCAGCAAGGCTCAGTGTCGGACGAACCTGCATTGGCGACATTACCCAGGACGTCAGCAAGATTCATTGTCGGACGAACCTGCATCGGTGACACAACCCAGGACGTCAGCAAGGCTCAGTGTCGGACGAACCTGCATTGGTGACACAACCCAGGACGTCAGCAAGGCTCAGTGTCGGACGAACCTGCATCCATGACACAACCCAGGACGTCAGCAAGGCTAAGTGTCGGACGAACCTGCATTGGCGACACAACCCAGGACGTCAGCAAGATTCATTGTCGGACGAACCTGCATTGGCGACATTACCCAGGACGTCAGCAAGGCTCAGCGTCGGACGAACCTGCAGTGGCGACACAACCCATGACGTCAGCAAGATTCATTGTCGGACGAACCTGCATTGGCGACACAACCCAGGACGTCAGCAAGATTCATTGTCGGACGAATCTGCATTGGCGATATTACCCAGGACGTCAGCAAGATTCATTGTCGGACGAACCTGCATTGGCGACATTACCCATGACGTCAGCAAGATTCAGTGTCGGACGAACCTGCATTGGCGACATTAAGTGTCGGACGAACCTGCATTGGCGACACAACCCAGGACGTCAGCAAGATTCATTGTCGGACGAACCTGCATTGGCGACATTACCCAGGACGTCAGCAAGATTCAGTGTCGGACGAACCTGCATTGGCGACATTACCCAGGACGTCAGCAAGATTCAGTGTCGGACGAACCTGCATTGGCGACATTACCCATGACGTCAGCAAGGCTAAGTGTCGGACGAACCTGCATTGGCGACATTACCCAGGACGTCAGCAAGGCTCAGTGTCGGACGAACCTGCATTGGCGACATATCCCTGACGTATACACGTGGCTGAGTCTTGATGTAATCATGTAAAGTGTTTGGAGTGACAGTTGAGGAAGCTGTCACTTCAGCTAACACCAGAACAGGAAACGAGCGACGCTGCTACATATGAGCAAGTCGTGACATCCATTGTAATGGTATTGCGTTTCAGGATTGCACAGGTCACCTAGTTTTTAAAGCATTTCGCTTGTATTTTTTTATTCGCAACATGGATATTGTATTTGTAACGGGTTAGAGGTTGGGACGTGGTTGTAAGGGTGTGCCATGGCCCACCCCAACCTCAGTTAATATGTTTGTTCTTTTGTTTGTTTGTTTGTTTGTTTGTATGTTGTTTGTTGTTTAACGCCGCTCTCATCAGTATTCCATCTATATGACGGCGGTCTCTAAATAATCGAGTCTGGACCAGACAATCCAGTGATTGATATCATGAGCATCAATCCACACAATCGGGATACGATGACATGCATCAACCGAGCCAGAGAGCCTGACCACCTGTTCCTGTCATAGCATCCTTAAGATAAGC